GAAAATGAAAAAATACGATATTAAAATGTATGGGATGTATCTAAAGCAATGCTTAGAGGGAAATTTATAGCATGAAATGTTTGTATTAGAAAAGAAGACAGTCTTAAATTAACAGCTTAAGAGTCCATCTTATGAAACTAGAAAAATGAGCAAATTAAGCCCAAAGCAAAGTAGATGGAAAGAAATAATGAAGAGCAGCAATCAATGAATCTGTAAACAGAAGAACAATGAGAAAATCGATGAAACCAAAAGCTGAATCTGTTAAAAGATAATGAAGTTGAATAACCCTAACCACACTGACCAAGGAAAAAAAAAAAAAGACGCTAACTACAGATATCAAGAATGAAAATAAGGATCCCACCATAGATTCTGTAGAACCTTATTTTACATTATTGTTTCTTCTATTTCCTTATTCTTATCTTTGATGATTTCATCAGGTTGCTGTTCATTCCATGTTTGCCTCAAGAAGGCAAAAATTAAAATTTAGGAAGTAAAATTGACAGGATTGGAAAACGACTTGAAACAGGGAGAAGGGAGTGAGGGAGAGAAGATTAGCTGGGTGAAACCTTTACCTGAGATACCAAATTCAAAATAGTGTTTTCTTGTTGATGTGTTATTTGTGGGGAGTATGAGTCTGAGCAAGATGGTGAATTCAGTTGGGGCATACTAAACTTCAGTTTACCTCTTGTACATCTGTATAGAGGTGTCTAGTAGGAAGATAGATATGTTGGTTTGGATTTGAAGGGAGGTCTGGAGTGGAGATTCAAGTTTGGGAGTCATCAGCTTATAGGTAGGGGTAAAACTGTGAGGCTCGTTTGATGATCTGTAGATTGAGAAAGAAAGCATAGAGCCCTCTGACTTTATAAAAATTGGCCCCAATTCCTTAGTGCCATAAGACAACACAGGGAACAGAGTCCCAACTACCAAAAGAACTCACATACGCAGCTGAGGACTTTTGTCCTCAAAGAAGAACCTAGAACAGCTCGCTATATAAGGATGGAGATGGAGCTCCGCATAGAAATGTTCATGGTGAGCAAACACATGCAAGCACCTCATGGACTTAAAACTGTTCAGGAGAAAGCAAGCTTCCTGTCTAGATTTTAGTGGCTAGAAAGCAAAAGAATGAGCTGAGGCAACTGGATTGCCCTTATCTAACAAGGGTAATACTGTAGCTGCCAAATGAGCAGACTGCATTGTTAGATGTGGATGGCATTATATTTTCTTTCCATAAGTGTCATAAGATACTAAGAATAGATGATGTTAATAAAGACTGTGATGTTTTAAGGCATTGCTATAGAATGTTGTTAATAAATATTCTAGAGCAAATAATAAATTTTCTAGGCATATGAGCATAGGAATATTTATGAGAGGCAAATCAGTTTTCTGCAGTTATCTGAAATTGATATTCTTGCTGATACATGCTGTCAAACCTTGTCTCTCAGTCTCCAAATTCTTGCTTCCTTTTTGAAAACCAAAGTTGTTTGTTAAGGGAGAAATATTCTCTTTTTCTCTCATGAAATTAACATCATTTTCTTGTAGACATTTTGGCAACAAAGGCTCTCCCTGTATGTTTATAGGGAACCATAGGTCTTCAATAACATCCTATGGTTTCCTTTTAGTTACTGAAAAATAGTGCTGTAATTTTATACTTTAGATTTCAAACAACAGAGATTGCTTCTTGGTGCCTCAAGAAAAAGCGAGTTTATGGTAAAGCTCTATGTGAACTGGAAATGGAAAGCTATCGGGTACAGAGGAAGCTTGAGGGAAGAGCTGCTCCCTTCATCTCTGCCATGAGCTACATGGCTTCTCTCACAGCATCTTCACTTCCCTTTACACGTCTTCTCTGACTGCCATTCTACTAACTGGCCTCCTCTGACCATGTATCATCTCTGTTTCCTTACAAGTCTATTGTGACGTCTTCAACTTACCATAGCTCTCCACTTCTGCTTCATGGCATCCTTTTACATTCTTCTCCCACTTTTATCTGGCTCCGTATTTTCAAATATAGGTTCACAAGAACGAGACTGTGCTTGACCCAGGTCATCTTTTCTTGCCAAGTTGTTTCTTGACAGGTCTCTACTACCCTACAGATTGCCTGCTCTTAGGTCAGGTATCCGCTCTCATTTACACATTTGTAGCTTGAGGGTGGTGGGAGTAATCATTTGGTTGAAGACCTGGCAATCTTGGCAGAAATGCCTATGGCTGAGGAATTTGTCTCCTCAAAGGAGGTATCCACATAACAAGCATTTGAGTTTTGGCCTTTCCAATAAACAGTGCATGGACTTTAGCCTAGACTCCAATTCTTTATCTTGTATATCTTCTGTCTTTTATAAATTAATTTTTGGTATTTAGAAATACATATTTTGGGGTGAAGTCAATTCTGTAGTAGTTCTCAGCTTTCCACCTTTCTTATCCAGAAATGGAAAACCTAAATAACCCTCAGTTGAAATATAAGCACTTCAGTTTTCCATGCGTGGTTTAGGTAAGCTGCAAGAAGCAGAATTAAGGTATTTAACACTAAATCCCAGACTCAGCTCTGATATTCATTTCTAAATTCCACGTACAATTTCTAACACTTTAGAAAGCACTCAGTTTTGGCCCCTCACCTCTAGATGACCCTTTATTGTTCAGGAATGCCTTGAAGCCCGTTTTCTCCAGAGGAAAAGTTGAAGCCAGTGATCTTTCTGGGACAGTACCAGTTACCCTGTAGCCTGTGTCTTTGCTCAGGGAGTCCAGTAGGCTTCCTAGGGTACAATGGAGTTGAAATTTTCTCTTCTTTGAGGAGCCCCTTCGAAGCAAGGAGTAATACCTACATCATTTTTGCCCACACATCAGGGCCCTTGATTTTATGGTAATCCCTGGATTTCATGTTTTACTTTAGCATTTTGTAAGTTAGAGCAAAAATCCCAACCAGTTCCTGGGAACACAACCATAATCTCCTAAACTCTGTCTTCACCCAAAACACAACCTTCTTGGCTTTCAAAAACTATCAACAATCAGGCTCAGATGTTCCATTCCCTGATGTAATCACAAGAATCTTAAAGTGGAAAGTTACACGTATTAAATTGGAGTATAGGGAAAGGAAAGTGGAAGTGAAGAAAAAAGCGTAAATCTGAGGGGAATCAGTGAAACTTCATACTTGATTGGTGTTCAGATTTCTAAAAGAAATGAAAGGATGGCAATTAGAAAAGTCAGTCATGATTTTTAGAAGGTGGTTGTTTTCTTCAGTATTTATACATGCTCTTTTTTTGTTGTTTTTTAATTTTCAAAAGATGATTATAGAGCTTGGGACATTCAGAAAAGTGAACTTTATAAACAAGAACAAACTTACTATCCCCCTACTGTGAAATTTGGAAACAACATTTCAGGATGACTGTGTACCTTGTGAGATAAAGCCTAGGCAAAGCTTTAAACCCAGCCCTGCAGTCAAACATTCTACAGTCCCCTTTAATGGTGATGCAAGTCATCACCTTGATTACGTACCTCATCAGCTAGAATTCAAGTTTGTGAGGCCAAAAGAAGTTTACAAGCCAACCAACCAACCAACCTTTTGAGGATCTCACAACTCACTGATATGACTTCCAGGGGCTTGTTGGTGAAAATGCAAACATCTGCAGACCTCCATACACCAGAGTGTCCCAAAATGCTCAATTTGAAAGAAGCACTGAATTCCGTGACAGTTTTCAACCATGGGAAATCCCACCACCCGAAGTCAAGAAAGTACAAGAGTATGTCCCTTCCGCAGGTATCGTGCAATTACACAGCACAAGCCACATCGATTATGTTCCATATGAGGCCAGACGTGTTGTTCCTTCCCATCAGGCCAGCTTCTCGTAGAAAAAATAACAGTGTTCCTTCCCAAGGAAAAAGCACCACGAAGGAAGATTTTCCAGCATGGGAAAGTTGTTGTCAAAGATTTATTAATATTAAGCAGGAGCAGCAGATCCCCAACCCATCTGGAAAGTTTGATGGTTTGAGCACTTTCAGATCTCACTATGTGCCACATGAATTGATTCCAACAGAGAGTTGCAAACCTGTAAATGTTCCCTTTAAGGGTTCTATTCCATTTGATGACGTAACCGTGTACTCTCCCAAGTGTGCACCAAAGAAACAGGAAATCTGCCCTGCCTAGTTATCCTTCTCCTCCAGGTTATATCTTTGAACATACAAATTCCCGAGGTCATAAATTCTTCCACACGATCGCTCCCACGGTGAAGGCCTTCTAATCATCAAATCATGTTTAAAAGGAAGCTAACTAACAGAACGTTGGTTTCCCAAGGGCAAAACCAATTTTCTATGGTAGAAGAAAAAGTTTATGAGAGCTGAAAAAAATCATGTTTTAAATTTTTAAACGAGATTTAGAAAATTTGTTACAGGAAATCAGGATTTTTTTTTTAATTTTATTTATTTATTTATTTTTGGCCACATTGGGTCTTCGTTTCTGTGCACGGGCTTCCTCTAGTTGTGGCAAGCGGAGGCCACTCTTCATCGCGGTATGCGGGCCTCTCACTGTCGTGGCCTCTCTTGTTGAGAAACACCGGCTCCAGACGCGCAGGCTCAGTAGTTGTGGCTCACGGGCCCAGTTGCTCTGCGGCATGTGGGATCTTCCCAGACCAGGGCTCGAACCCTTGTCCCCTACATTGGCAGGCAGACTCTCAACCACTGCGCCCCCAGGGAAGCCCCAGGAAATCAGGATTTTAAAACCCATTTTGTATTAATACTTTAACCAAGTTTGTTCTCTAATATGCGTTCTGAGAGTTGCATAATGTACATTCCCATCCGAACTATTTTAATCCAAACATACTTTCTGGTAGCTTGCCTCAATCTGCTATCACTTGTACGTGTGTTTATAATTATGGAAATTATAGGGTTATTCATATATGAGTTATTTATAAGTGCCTTAGGACTAATAGAACACCATTGAAAATGATACATGGATTCTTTTCATTGAAAATGATGCATGGATTCTTTTTTCAATACAACAGTATTTTTTTCCTTAGATTTCAAGGCATCTGCATAGTGAACCCTGAGTCAGGTTTTGGTTGGTAGTGTCAAGATGGCTACACTGCTCTTCGCTGTATTCAAGTTAGAAAGAGGCATTGTGGTGTGACAAGTAAAGGCTCTGTGGGTTGGGAATCAAAGCACCTGAGTTCAAGTTCCAATGAAACCAGTTTCTACTTGTGCCATCCTAGGCAAGTGACTCTTGTCTTTGAGCCTCAGTGTCTTCATTTGTCAAAGAATATCTGCTCTTCCTACCTCTCAAAAGTTTTGCTTTGAGCATCAGGTCATGTGATACAACATAACGCACAAAGTAAAAGTGCTAACCAAAGGTTAGGGATTGTTACTAAGTCGCTCAATCTCTTTCTGTACCTGTTTCTCTGTTTTCAAATTAGGAGAATTACCTACTCAACACTCACTTTCTGTCCTGTAGCAAGGATTGTAAAATAACGTAATCTGCTTCGAGCTTACAAGTAGTGTGATTTGAGATGAGACTTGCCCTCTAAAGCTTCACAAGCACCCTAGAAGTTCTTGCAGAGAATGGAGAGCTTGGATGGGGCGAATAATGTGGTTCGAATGACAGTACTTCCAAAAAGGAAAAAGCATTTGCGAGAGTAGTTTAAGGAATGACTGACAGCTCTGAAGAAAATTTTCACGGTAACCTCAGGTAATTATGCACCTAATTGCTGCTCCCAGAATCAAGGTGCAGAAGAAGAATCAGGCTTGGTATGGGCACAATTATGTCCTCCTCCTCCTCCAGTGTGAAGACAAATGCCAAGAAGGGAAGGAGGGAAGGAATGGTGCCATTAAGTGAAGTAGAAAGAACAGACTGCAATTATAAATGCTGAGACTTTCCTAATGAATTAAAATCTGAGTGGGTGTTTTTTCTTTGATCAATGATGCATTATGGGATAATATGATTTATTTTATCTTTTCAGTCTTTAGTAGCTTTAGAACTGTTTCAAAATATATACTTAACTGAGAACAAGTCCGTCAACATTTGGTTAAAATACTTTTCATTATGTGGAAGTAGTTTGTTTTTATTTACTTTCATATTAGAGAAAATTATGTTGAATTGATATATTAGTCATAGTAATAGAGCATCATTAAATGAATTTTCATGAAATCATTTCTGCAACAAATCTTCTCTGGAAAAGAGATCTTGTTAATAAAGTATTTTCCAGGATAAGCTCTACATAATTCACACACACACACACACACACACACACACACACACACACACACACACAGTCACACATTTTAACAGCACTGGAAACTAGTAATATTTTAACTATTTAACTATCTGCCAGATTTAGAATGAATTTCCACTAAGCCAAACTTGGATAAATCGGATGAAGGAAGCAGGGCATTTGGAGACAAAATTTCCACCCCCACCCCATCCCATCTCCATCCTGTCTCCCTGCATGTCCTTGTTGTGGAGAATGAGACCACAGAATGAGACAGAAAGGCTTTGTAGTTTATAAACCCTGCAGGGACAACAACGCTAAGAGTGCACCCTAATGTACACCATGGACTTTGGGTGATTATGCTGTGTCAGTGTCAAGTCGCCCATTGTGACACAGGTACCCTCTGGTGCGGGCAATCAATAGTGGCAGGCTGTGCATCTGTGGGGGCAGGAGGTACAGGGTTACTCTCTGTACTCTCCATTCAATTTTGTTCTGAATCTAAAACTGCTCTAAAAATCAAAGAATATTAAAAACAAAGACTGCATGGCAGGAAGAAAGGAGGGGAGTGTTTAGCAGTCAGAGGTTGGGAAGCCCAACCCCTGAATACATCAGATTTACAGACTTCCTTTCTAAGGCCCTCTCTGAGAATCGCTGTGTGAGAGGAGTCTGGTAATATGAAGCGAGGAGGAGACCTCTGAACATTCATCAGAGAAGGGGAAGGTGAACCTTGTCATCATAAGTTAGCAAACTTCAAAAAGGCTGTTTAAAAAGAGTGCTGCTGATGTACCTTTCAAAGGGTCACAGTGTCCAATAAAACATGAAGAAACGTCCATTTTGTTAAGACTTTAGCTTTTCTTTTCTCTCCACTCAGTGGTGTTTTACATGGATGGGCAGATTTTCACCCTATGTCACAGACCCAGGACTTTCACCAATGTCGCCCCTCCCCATCCTCCCCTTCAACAGGGCACACAGTTTGATAGCTGCCAGGGCTATCTCTCCATCATCTCCAATGTCCCCATCTATACTACTTTATTTGTAGCAATTATGGAACTATAATGACAAATGACACAGATTTGGAGCACGTGGAACACTCGTATGTCGTTAGTGGGAACAGCCACTTTGGAAAACAGTTTGCTAGTTTCTTATAAACATGTACATAACCATATGAGCCAGCAAATCCACTCCTCGGTATTTATCAAATAAGAATGAAAACTTAGTTTTACACAAAAGCCTGTACGTGAATGTTTATAGAATTGTATTCATAATCACCCCACGCTGGAAACAACCCCGAGGTCTTTTAACTGGAAAAATGATACACATCTATAGTATACCCATACGAAGCCAATTCAAGGAACAAACTATTGATTCACCCAATATCACGCATGAATCTTAAATGTCTTTTTGGTCAGTGAAAGAAGCCTCAAAGGCCACATAATGTATGATCCCACTTGCATGAAACTCTGGAAAAGGTAAAATTATACGGACAGAAAATAAATAATTGCCAGGGGGTGGGGGGTGGAGAAATTATTGGCTACCAAGAATCAAGATAAGGGAATTTGGGAGGTGATGGAACCGTTATGTAAGAAACTGTGCTGGTCGACAAACAACTCTCTGAATTTGTCAAAACTCTTGGAACTGTAAAGCACAGAGGCAATTTGACTGCATGTAAAATTATAAAAACGATCACCCAGGAGGTGGGGAGAAAGCAAGGAGGAATGCAGACTGTGACAAATGAGGATGACTGTACAACAAATGAATCACATAACCACACTGCAGGGGGTGGGAAGGAAGGGGATGACCTAAGTCACTCTGGAAGAGGGTTCTCACTGGACACCATAAGGCAGTAGACAAAAAGAATACTATACAAATACTGTACTCTACTTGGTAATTTCTTTTTTTCCTTTCACAGGGGTATGCGTTACCAGCTCTGAAACTACGTGTATAATAAGGCCAAACCAAGAAAATATATTGCAGATAATGAAAGCCAGGCTTCTCCCTGTCAGAGAAAGAAGTTTACAAACAAGAAAAAGGTATAGACTATAATAATGACCCTATGTGCTGGACTGGCATTCAAGGTTTCAGTATGAATGCATAGATGCAGGAAAAAAAGTGTGTGTGTGTGTGCGCGCGTGTGTGCGTGCACATGCACGCGCATGCGCGCACATTCAAGGATTAGTGTATATGCAGTCAACTTTTTAACCCTCCCAATGGCCAAAGCTAGTATGCTTTCCCTTTTTTTTTTAACATCTTTATTGGGGAATAATTGCTCCACAATGGTGTGTTAGTTTCTGCCTTACAACAAAGCAAATCAGTTATACATATACATATGTTCCCATCTCTCTTCCCTCTTGCGTCTCCCACCCTCCCTATCCCACCCCTCCAGGCGGTCACAAAGCACCGAGCTGATATCTTTTTATCATAAATGGGTGTTGAATTTTGTCAAAACTTTTCTCTGCATCTATTGAGATGATCATATGGTTTTTCTCCTTCAATTTGTTAATATGGTTTATCACATTGATAGATTTGCGTATACTGAAGAATCCTTGCATTCCTGGAATAAACCCCACTTGATCATGGTGTATGATCCTTTTAATGTGCTGTTGGATTCTGTTTGCTAGTATTTTGTTGAGGATTTTTGCATCTGTGTTCATCAGTGATATTGGCCTGTAGTTTTCTTTCTTTGTGACATCCTTGTCTGGTTTTGGTATTAAGGTGATGGTGGCCTAGTAGAATGAGATTGGGAGGGTTCCTCCCTCTGCTATATTTTGGAAGAGTTTGAGAAGGATAGGTGTTAGCTCTTCTCTAAATGTTTGATAGAATTTGCCTGTGAAGCCATCTGGTCCTGGGCTTTTGTTTGTTGGAAGATTTTTAATCACAGTTTCAATTTCAGTGCTTGTGATTGGTCTGTTCATATTTTCTATTTCTTCCTGATTCAGTCTTGGCAGGTTGTGCATTTCTAAGAATTTGTCCATAGCTAGTATGCTTTGAGCAACAAAGTCATGATAGTGTTGGATTTCAACCCCTAAATATATATCTATATATAGATATAGATATCTATATCTATAACTATAGATATCTAGATATATATGCATCCCCTGGAGTCCATGTGCATATACATAAAGTGAATAAATGGGGAAGAAGGGACAACTCTTTGCTTCCAAAGGATTCCAATTAGTTAAAGTAGACAGAGTGAAGAAAATAGAAGCTTACAATTAGAACATCTTCGTAATAATTGTTATAGGCACAATCCACAGTGGATGCTAAAATTAAGGGGCAATACTTTAAGCAGCAGCAGAATATTTGCACAGTGTCAAAGTATTGTCTCTAAAATAAGTATTTATTAATTACAAAGAGAAAAATAGTCACGTAATAGACAAGAAACTTGGCAGAAACTACCTGAACCAAGGATCAAGTCACTTGTAATAGGACTTATTGACATATTGTTCCCCCTGACAGTATGCATTAAGAAGGGCAATAATGTATAACCTCACTCTCATCTTGAGAAAACACTAGATAACCCCAGCTCGAGAGACATTCTGTAAAACCTCTAGCCAGTGTCATGGTCAAAAGTGTCATGGTCATGAAAGACAAGAAGAAATTTGAGGAAGCATCACACATTGGAGGAGGCTAGAGAGGCAAGGCAGCAAAACACAATGTGGGATCCTGGATTAGAACTCGGGCAGAATAAAGGACAACAGTGGAAAAATGATAAAATCCCAAAATGTTGATATGTAAAAGACAGAATATTTGGGATTTCATCACACTGTACATGAGAGTGGACCCAAGCCTTACATTAGTGTTTAGATTGTAAAATCTGGAGTTTTTTGGTGTCCTTGCATAGTTACTAAAGATTACAAAATATTTCAAACTGCCAAGAAAATAGAGGGGATTTCCTAGAAAAATTTATCTGAGTTGGAAATAAAGTTGTAACTTTTCCACTGTCCCGATAATGCTGTCCACTCCTTGTAACCTACGTAGGCCTTAGAGAAGGAAGGAAGAGAGGGAGGGAGGGAAGGAAGGGGAAAGAGGGAACGAGTCAAGGAGAGAAGGAGGAAGGGACAGAAGGAAGGAAAGAAAGAAAAGGAAAGAAGGAAGTACACTGTTGAGATATCTGAGGTGTCCCATTGCTTATCTTCTGTGTGGCTCGGCCTCATTAGGTTAACACAGTCTTACAAGTTACTGTAAAATGGTTGATTTTTGTCTTCATCAAGTGACCTTGGAAACTCCAAGGCCTGTAGCAAATGAAGGGGAATTTCAATTCCAGCACCACGGATGTTTTCTAGAAAGACTCACTGCTAATCTTGAAGCACTATACACTTGACCCTTGCACAGTGTGGGAGTCGGGGCACCACCCTTCCCTGCCATGGAAAATCCACGTATAACGTGTAGTTGGCCCCCGTATCCGAGGTTCCACATCCACATATTCAACCAACCTTGGATAGTGCAGTATTTACTAGTCATAGAAATCTGTGTATAAGTGGACGCAAGCAGTTCAAACCCATCAACTGTATAAGAGAAGAAAGCTATTAAAAGCGGTTACTCACCAACCGCTGCTAAAAAGTCTCTCTGTGCAGACATCTCAAATCCATCGCTAACCTCCTCACAATAGCCAGAAATAAAAGTGTGCTAGTGCCTCCTGCTCTCCCAACTACCACCCACTTCCACACCTGCTTCAGGCTGTCCGTTTGGAACTTCTTGCCACTCTTTCCTGCCCTTGACATTCTTTTAGGTGTGATTCACAGGAAGTAAATGACTGGGGTGAGGCACTGAGAGTTAGTCTCTGTGTGACCCGCTCTGAATCCTGTAACCCACACCCCAAAGACAGCCCAGGGCACTGAGCCCAGCAGGGTTGCTCCTGGACTCAGAGAGGCAGCCAAGGTGACCATACCCAAGGCCACCAAAACCCGAATGCAAATAAGTCACCTGCCTTTGTAAGGATGCCACTGAATAATCAAAGTACATTTATTTCTGAATTCCTAGTCAGGATTGTGAAAGAGAAATAGTAACTCTTAGGTGATAGAAACAGTAGTAAAATACAGTACACAGGAAGGTCATTTGAATGATAACAAAACAAAAGGTACAACAGCAAATGAAAAATAGCAACTTTAAATACAAAGTGAAGCAGTTTAATAAGGAATTTTGTTAATCAGAAAAATACATGTCCCCTGTCTTTATTACATACTGTACAAAATAAAATATTGCACCTTTAAGTCATATAATAAATATATACAAAGAGTATTGTACAAATGATCTCTCTTTTAATTTAAAAAGCCTTCAACAATGAAGTGTGATTGATGATGAACAACTCACAGGCTGGTGTGTCCTCGTCACGTTCCCGCACCCATTCCCAACCACCAAACCCTCCACGTACAGTAGTGCTCATCCCAGTGTCAGTGAGGCTGCAGTTAGAACAAGAGACCTGGTGCTCAGGATGTGGCAGAGACTCAGCAAGCTTGTCCACAGACAAATCCAAAGCCAGAACGCACTGCTCACTTATGAGTGACCAGGGACTAGGGCCAGCACACCTGCTTCAGGTAACTTTGCTGCCGACAGCCTATAGGCAACATGCGCACAGGCAGCTGGGACCCCGAATAAAGAAGTATGACCACTTATTTAGGGTTGTGTGCCATCCAAAGCCATAACTGCTAGTATGTAAGGTAAGAGCCCCCTAACCAAACCAGCTTTAGAACTTACAATTAAATACTAGTTCCCAACTCCTTCCGCAGCAACATCTTCTCCAAACTTTACCTCCACCCTGACGCTGTCACTAATGCCAGCATTGGCACGATCCAAACCCAAACCAATTCTGACCTAACCCTAATCCATAAAGCCAACTCTAGCCTTAACAATAAGTGAACCTCCATTTCTCTCACCTAACCCAAGGCTAAAACTAAAATGAACCCTAAACTTAGTCACCAAATCCTAACTCTTAACTTCTCATCCTAACTGTACCTTCCAGCCTAATGCTAATTTGCTTTGGATTTACTGACAAATCAGTTCAAATTAAATGTTATTTACTGTAAACAGCTCTTTTCAGCTATCATGTTTCATAGTTAGATTACTTTCTCATAATTTTTCCAAAATAAAAATCCTTAGGAATACTATCTTATGCATAAATTCGGTCTAACAAGGCTTTGGTTTTTCTGTTTGTGTGCAAGAGAATAGTGCTGAGAAAAATCTCATACACAGCTCTTAAAAGAACGCTTTGAATATACTTCAAAATCAGTAGAAGAGGTTAACTTTCCATCTCCTTTAATTTCCAAGATGCCTCATTTGGTCACAGATCGATTTCCGTAGTTGCAAAAATGGCAGCAATGTTTACTCAGTGTTCTCTAAGAGCAAGGAAAAGATGCCATTCCTCCAGGATGTCTGGATCAGTCAGGGTCACAAGCCTGTCCAGAGTGACTGTCTCCTTTTCACAGACTAAACGTAAGGGTCCATAAAAATGCCATTGGAGCCAACATCTTAACAACTACTGGCCAGAGCTTCTAAAATGTAAATGCCTTATAAACCTGTTGCAACCCTAAAACTGAGAGAAGTCATCAGTTGCCGTGTTTCTCAAGCCTTCAGGATGTCGTACTCTCTACTAGTCTATAAATCACAGGAAGAGGCAGCTCGTGACAATGCACAGGTGATCTTGGTGATTTCCTGATTAGAAGGACAGGACGAGGTCCCACGTGCAATGGTGTGCCTGCTACAGTATTTTATGTTAGTCCTGGAACATATCATTTAAAAGAGTTGAAATTAAAAACCGGCCATGGGGAAATGACAGTCCCAAATTTTAAGTGGTGATTTGCATCGACTTCTGTCTGATTGTAGAATCTAGAGGGTTTTCTGGTAAAGAAATACGTGTCTTTGTGCCAACTACATGGGGAAGAGAGCTTTTACATTTTGTTTCATCTTCCCAGTGGCATTAGGACTCCCTAAAAGTTTTATCCTTCTTTACACGACTGACAGCACCTTTGTTTGTAGAGGTCTAGCGAACACAAATTAAGATGCTTTACAAACGTACAGTAATGAGTTGTGTCTGTGCAGGCTCCTGCAGAAAAAAAAAAAAATATATATATATATATATATATATATATATCCATTTAACACATAGCTCATTAGAGACCTAATTTAAAAGGAAGTACATGATTTTATGAAAAGCAGAAACTGAGATCACAGGGGGAAGCGAAGAAGCTAGGCTTGGGTTAGGGCCACTGCTTGGCACTGGAGTCAGAAGTGCCCTGGACTCACTTCTTAGCTAGGCCATGTGGCTTCTCGATGCCCTCAGGGGACGTCACAGCCCTTCAGGCCACCTGCTCCTCCCAGTGCTGACAGCAGCACTAGCTTCTGGGGTGTCATGAACCCCAGGGAAAACTTATCAAAGCAATGGACCTCTCCCTAGAAAAATATATATGATTACATTTCCCACATAACTTCAGGGCATTTACACACCTGCCCAATCCCATCCAAGGAAGCCTTGTCTGAGGGGCTGAAACTCCAAGGCAGAAAGAGAGGCTCGCAGTGCTTGTTAGAAGGCCACCGACCACCCTACTCAGTCAACTATTTTCTTCTCTAAAGGACACCAAGTTGCACCCACATCAAAGCAGCTAATCTCCTGATGTCCCAAGATACCACATCAGTTCAGAATGGCCCTGCGGACGAGACCCTGGCAAGGTTGGCTCCATGCGGTCCGGTTTGCACAAGGCTTCGGGGTGGTTGCAATACCTGAGAGGGGTACGTACTATCACAGGAAGGCCCCAGGCAGTGCCGCCAGGAAGAGGGTTTCTTTCCCGGCTCACAGCGTCTCTCAGCCACCGTCTTGCAGCTCCTCGTGTGGACACAGTCCACCTTCCTAGACTGGAAGCCCTGACCACAGGCTGACGTACAGGGCCTCCAAGGGCCTGCGTGCCAACATGTGTCACAAGCCCGCGACGAGCAGTTCCTCCAAAAGGTGGGTCTGAAATGAGAAAAACAAACAAAAAGGTGGACAATGGGAGAAAGTGGGGTGTCACTTCTTGCTGGGATCAAGCCTTTTACTGTACTGTACTTTCAGTATAGCAAAGGCTTGACAATTACGACCTTATTCAACAGGAAACTCATCTGCATTGTTCCTGGCTGACTAAGCAAAGTGGTGGAGGAATCACAACCTCAATAGAGGCAAGCAAACCATGTGTTTCCGTGAACCTCTGGCACCACATCAAGGCACACACCTCAAAAGACACACTCTCCTGATGAGCTGGAGCAGATCGATTTAAGGAAGAGAAGAAAGACACATTTGTTAACAAACTGTAAGCTCCGTTTATATAAGCACTTGAAATATATTCTGGTATGAGTATGAATTTGTTTGTGAGCAACCTTCTCTGCTAAGAGGAGTGCTCTAGTTTACATTTAGGACACACTATATAACTCGTAGTGAGAGCTAAAAAAGACCTTTTGGGAAGAGGGATCTCTTTCTAGCCTCCTTACTCTTTGAAACAGAATAGAAAGTTAATGCCCTCTGTTTTGTTGTTGTCAAAAAGGGTCCACTGTACGTGTATATTTATTTGACAACCATGTGCCAGAGAATTTTCCAAATACTTTACATAGATTGACTCCTTTAATCCTCACAACTACCCTACACAGTAGCTACTTAATTTTTTTAATTGAAGTATCGTTGATTTACAATATTATATTAGCTTCAGGTGTACAACATAGTGATTCAATATTTTTATACTTTATACTCCATTTAAAGTTATTATAAAATACTGACTATATTCCCTGTGCTGTGCATTACATCCTTGTACCTTATTTATTTTATACCAACTGGTTGACACCTCTCAGTCTCTTAGCCCTGTCTTGCCCATCCTCCATGCCTTTCCCCTGCTGGGTAACCACTAGTTTGTCTCTGTATCTATGAATCTGTTTCTGTTATAGTCATTCGTTTTATTTTTTAGATTCCACATATAAGTGACAGCATATGTATGATATTTGTCTTTCTCTGTCTGACTTTCTTCCCTAAGCATATATACACTCCAGGTCTATCCATGTTGTTGCAAATGGCAAAATCTCATTCTTTATGGCTGAGTAATATTTCACTGTATATGTACCACATCTCCTTTATCCATTCATCTGTTGATGGCTACTTAAGTTGTTTCCATATCTTTCCATATCTATTATGGAAAGATATGGAAAGCCGCTCCGTGGCATGTGGGATCTTCCCGGACCGGGGCACGAACCCATGTCCCCTGCATCGGCAGGTGGACTCTCAACCACTGTGCCACCGGGGAAGCCCAATCTTTTTGAATTTGTGTTTTCATTTTCTTCAGGTTTATAGCCAGGAGTGGAATTGCTATATCATCTGGTAGTTCTCTTTTTACCTTTTTAAGGAATCTCTATACTGTTTTCCATAGCGGCCGCACTAACTGACATTCCCACTAACAGTGTACAAGTGTTCCCTTTTCCCATCCTCAGCAGCATTTATTATTTGTTGTCTTTTTGACAACAGATATTCTGACAGGTGTGAGGTGATATTTCATTATGGTTTTGATATCTATTTCCCTGATGATTAGTGATGTTCAGCACCTTTTCATGTGCCTGTTGAATGCCCTCTGATTTTTGAACAGATATTTACCCTGGAGGGTGAGCCACCTTAGTGGACCCACTTTGGGGTATCTGCTCTTGTTCCCTCGGGCAGGGTTCCTGGAACTGATGTACTTGTACCACATGAGAATGTCTCCCCATCCCCTAAGATGACTGGAAGAGGGCCCTAACCTGAGCTGGTTCAATCACTGTCTTTCTCCCAGGAACTTGGAAGTTGCTGGAACAAGACATATAAACCTGAAGGCTGGAGTAGTGGTGGCCATACTCTGCCACATGGGCCAGAGAAGTAGAATAAAATAACATTCAGAAAGAACAAAGAATGAAGCAGAAACACACAGAGCTGCAGAGCTGAGAGGAGAAATTACTCCTCATTTCTTGGTTACAGTCCTTCCTGAGGTCTCACAGCATTATCCCTTTGGATCGAGACATTTTTGTGTTCCTATAAAAGGCTCCCTATCAGCGCACATAATCCATAAGGAGTGTTGAAACACCACTGGAAATGTAATAAGGTGGAGAAAATTCTGATCACCTGAACTTCTCTAAGAGACTGTTACACATAGTTGGAAGCAATACTTTGATTAGCCAGTAGGGGGAGACTCTATCAAAGGGTTTACTTAATACTGTCCCATCAAACTGTTTATAAGATTTGTAAGAGGAAAAGGGATGAGGGTGTCCTGTTAACTGCAGGGTTTTTGTTTTCTCCAGTGGGTATGAAGCTTAGGGGGCCAAAAGTTGAGTTGCTTTGGACAAGAGGGCAGAGACTGAGTACTCTTCAGCCATCCCCTATGCAGAGATCAGCTTTTCTACTGAAAACAGTTGAACAAATATTCCAAGGATACTCAAATAAGACATTTTAGAAGATACCAAATTGTTCTGAGAATGGTGGTCCTATCTTAATAAGAACTCTCCCACCCTCTTTGTATAACTCATTCCAAGTTGACTTTTGTTGTTTCCAGCCCAAAGGACCTTAACTAATACAGCCTCTTTTTCTGCTTTGTTAGAAGACAGGGCCAGTGGGAAGTCAGAAGAAACTATTTAGCTTCCTAAATATGAAAGGTGAGGGGGGCGCAAGGAGCTAGAGACCAAGGCAGATGCTGAAACCCAAGAGGCTGGTCATTGAGGACCCAGTAAAAGAATGCAAGATCGGTCCAGCAGAGAGCATCACTTCCTTCCGGGCAGGGATGGGACTGGGGATGGGGATGCCTGAGCTAGGGGGACACAGTCTGGGCACCAACACTGTGCACACAATTGGAACTCGTGTTTTTCTATGCAAAACATGAAAGTAGAAATGGCAGCAGAAATCATAACAGTAACCCTGTTTCTACTAGTCTGTCTTAATTTCTCATTCCTATTCAGTCCAGCTCTGCTCCTACCTCAAATAACCCGTTTCATCATCAGCCAGATGGAACTACTGATTCTGTAGGGCAGTAGATTTCAAGTCTGGCTTACTATCAGAGGTATGTAGGCAGCTTTAAAAAGACATAGATTAGGAAAGAATTAAAAACAAAAGACAAACAAACGAACAAAAGAGATACAGATTGGCAGGTTCCACTCCTCCCCAAGATTCTAATTCATTAAGTCCCAGTTGAGGTCCAAGAATCTTTAAAGAAACTTCCCAGGGAATTCTGACTCATGGCTGAGGTTAGGAATTACCTCTTTGGGGAACAAACTCTCTGGGCCCTCCAGCACGTCCTCAGATCCCTGTGTTGTCTTCTTGCCATAATGTGGGCTAGTTTACCCTGATAATTCTCACTCCCTTTATAACTCTTTTCAGTGGAAGCCACACCTCCCAAACCCTTCCCAGGGCCAATAATAGAGGCTAGCAGATGACCTGCTCACCACTGATTCTCTACCAGTGGCCACTAACAATGTTACTCCTTGTAACACACCCTCTAATATTTACTGAGGCCGTACTATGGCAACTGGGGGTCTCCAGCCCACCCACTGCATTGTAAAGTGAGATCTAGTACCTCACCTACCTTCAGCGAGCTCACAGGAAGCATGCCCAGTCAGCAGAAGAGGTCTGTGGGGGGAAATGAGGCCAGAAAACTGCAAAAGAGACCCAGAGAAGCTCTCTAAAGTAACCTAGTCCTTCTTCCATAAACCACCAGATATTTGGGGAAAACTAACAGCATGAAAGAAAAGTACTAGGACACTAGTACTAAAAGCTGAACAGCCAACCCTGGAGGAAGCAGAAACAATAGAGAAAATGAAAGGCAACTTTACTCTTTTCCCCCTTCAGGTCTAGGAATTTTTCTTCTATTACTTCTTTTAGGTCTACCCTTTCAGTTCATTTCCATATCTCTTTCTCTAAAACCCCACTTAATCAGATATCCTCGTGATAGATCCTTCCATGCCTTTTATCCTTTCTATTCTATTTTTTGCTTCTTGTTTTGGTTGGAAAGTTCATGGCGTATCCGAGGGACTGAAAGAAGGACAGTGGCTGGAAGAGTGAGACAGACTGAGGTCTCGAATGAGGGTGTGCAGGGAAGTAGGACTTGACCGTGCAATATTTTATAGGGCACACTGTGGATTTTAGTCAACCTTTTCCCTAAGAGCAAGTGAAGCCTCTAAAGTGATGTTAATCTAGCAGGGAGACGGGGTGTGGTGGTGGTATGATCAGATTTGCATTTTGGAAAAGATTACTCTGGCTGCAGTGGGGAGACTGGGTTGGAAAGGAGCATGGATGGGTGGAGGGAGACCAGTTGGATGGCTTGGCCAGGGGTGATGGTGGTAAAGATGGAAAAAGGTGGATGGGTTGGAGAAAAAATACAAAGAGCCAAAAGTCATGTAAAAAGTAACCAGAAAAGTACAAATTACAATAAGATATTTCATCCATCAGATTGGCAAAATTTTTAAAATATTGAAAAACCTATGTAAAGTTGATGAAAAGGGGGACTCTCATATACTGTTGGTGTAGACATTTTGATGGTTATTTAGTAGTGTCCAAATGAGCATGTCTGTCAATTCAAGTCCATGTCTAAAATGTATCCCATAAGAATATTACCCTTTGTGCATAAAGATGTTCCGGATGTTTACCGCAGCATTTGTTTGTAATAGCAAAAAAATTGGAAACAATCAAATGTCCATTAGAAATGGAGTGAGGTAACATTAAGTACAACAATTCAAAAGAATAAAGTGACTCATGTACTTGGATGGGAAATAGCTCTATAATGTGTTGATAAGCAGAAAAAACAAGTTTCAGAAAAATATATCCAGTATGTTATAAAGAAAGCTCAAACCACGTAGGTGTTTGTAATATAAATATATCTTTGAGCATGCAAAGTAAAACATCTGGGATGATACCTATCAATCTGTGTGTGGTCTCCATCTTCCGAACAAAATTGGAAACTGGGTTTTCTGTCGAGAATAAGGGCAGCTGTTCCAGACATTTTCCATTTGAGGAGAATGGTTCTGGCTGGAATTGTTTTGGGAATAGGAAATGCAGCTGACCCTACATTGCCAAACCTTACTGAAGGCTCAAAATAGAAACAGAGCCAGTTGTCAAGGTCATCTCATTTTCTCCAGCAAGACTCAGGATGTGGAGGAGGAAGGAAGAGCCATAGAGTGAGCATCTTCTATGACCAAGGCTGCTTAAGTGCTTCACACTAAACCAAACAATCAAAGCTTCCCCCAAACAAGATAACCTACAGACTAGGAGAAAATATTTGCAAATGATGCGACCGACAAGGGCTTGATTTCCAAGATAAAGTAAGAGCTCACACAGCTCAACAACAACAACAAAAAAAACAGAAAACCCTATCCAAAAATGGGCAGAAGACCTAAACACGTTTGTCCAAAGAAGAAATACAGATAGCCAATAGGCACATGAAAAGATGCTCAACATCGCTAATTATTAGAGAAATGCAAATCAAAACTATAATGAGGTACCACCTCACACCAGTCAGGATGGCCATCATTAAAACGTCTACAAATACTAAATGCTGGAGAGGGTGCAGAGAAAAGGGAACCCTCTTACCCTGTTCATGGGAGTGTAAGGTGGTGCAGCCATTGTGGAAGACAGTACGGAGGTTCCTTAGAAAACTAAAAATAGAATTACCATGTGATCCAGCAATCCTACTCGCAGGCATATATGCGGAGAAAACTATAATTCAAAAAGATACATGCACCCAATAGCCAAGACATGGAAACAACCTAAGTGTCCACTGACAGATGAATGGATAAAGAAGATGTGGTACCTATATACAATGGAATACTACACAGCCATAAAAAGAATGAAATCATGCCATTTGCAGCAACATGGATGCAACAAGAGATTATCATACTAAGTGAAGTAAGTCAGAAAGAGAAAGACAAATACCATACGACATCACTTATGTGTGGAATCTAAAATATGACACAGGGCTTCCCTAGTGGCGCAGTGGTTGAGAGTCCGCCTGCCGATGCAGGGGACACGGGTTCATGCCCCGGTCCAGGAAGATCCCACATGCTGTGGAGTGGCTGGGCCCGTGAGCCATGGCCGCTGAGCCTGCGTGTCCAGAGCCTGTGCTCCGCAACGGGAGAGGCCACAACAGTGAGAGGCCCGTGTACCGCCAAAAAATAAAATAAGATAAAGTAAAATAAAATACGACACAAATGAACCTGTCTTTCAAACAGAAACAGAAATACGGACATAAGAGAATAGGCTGGTGGTTGCCAAGGGGGAGGAGGTTGAGGGAGGGATGGAGTGGAAGGCTGTTGTGAGCAGATGTAAGTTTTTATATATAATGGATAGACAGTAAGGTCCTACTGTATAGCACAGAGAACTATATTCAATATTCTATGATAAGCCATAATGGAAAAGACTATTTAAAAAAAAGAATGTCTATATGTGTATAACTGAATCACTTTGCTGTACAGCAGAAATTAACACAACATTGTAAATCAACTCTACTTCAATTAAAAAAAAAAAAACCTAGCATAATTTCGCACCGACAATAATACCCCATTGTGCAGACTAGGAGGTTAGGTAGTCCAAGGTTACACAAGAAGAGAGTGGTAGAACTGCAAATTTCCCCATTAGTGTGCCCTCTTGGCTTTCTCCTCACTTTCTCTGGCTGGAGCACGCTCCTCTGGGGTGGTGGAGTCGCCAGACGGAAGGGGTCTGGGTGACCTCTGAGTGACCTCAGGGAACAAAGTTCTTCTACCCCTAAAACATCTATCAGCTCAGACTTTTATAAAAGAGGGAAGCATTTTTTTTCTTGTGTAAGCCCCTTAACAAGATAAAAGTTAATTTTATTCTCTGCTAAAGTAAATTTTATTCTCTGCTAATAACGTTGGATGTTATTCTGTGCCAACGTCCTAATCAAACAGTTTCTAAACAAAGGAATAATGTAGTTCATTACAGATTTAATCTGTAAGCCTAAATGAAATATTATTAGGCTTCATCAACTTTGTATATAGAGGGAAAAATACCTGTCTATTCTCAATGCTACTTTTTCCTTTCTCTTTGGGGTGTCTCTGTATGTTGAACATCCAAATAATTTGTGATGATAAATAGTACATGTTAATGAGTATTTTGGTATAATACATACTATTGAGGATGGCACCATGAGAAATCATAATTTAGTAGGAACTGTCCATTATGAGAGGTGGTATAGAGGACAGATGATGCCACTTTCAGGCGGTCATAGTCACTACTGAGGTGGCAGAGGTTGTGTGCTGCCCTAGGGCGGGGCCGGTACCTCCTGTCATCACAGCCGGACTCAGAACGGTTGGGGTGTTGACAAATTATATGATGCTGCTGCTGCATCCTCACAGCGCGACCCAGGCAACGTCCAGGACACTGGAACAAAAGCACAATGCAGTATAAACAACACTGGGAGCTCATGCATGCTGGGGTTCCAAAACCATGTGCTGCGGCGGCATTGCTAAGGACTAACTACAGGGGATCAGCTGTACCCGAGGGAAGTTAGGGAGGATGTAAGCCCAGCTCTAAGGACCAGACAGCCCTCCTTTAGAGCCAGAAGTTTCCTTTCCTCTTTTCCCCCAGAAACTTAGACCACCTCTGGGCAGAAGGGGAAAGGACAGGGCCAATCTGTAATTGACCAGGCTTAGGTTCAGAAATGACTATGCTTAAAACCATAAGCCATGGGCAAGTTTGGGTTTTCCTGCTCAGAGCAAAAATGAAGGCTATGTGTTGAGGTGAGTTTAATTACAGAAAAAAATATTTTGACATGCAGTTCTTAAATTTTTCTGTACTCATAACACCTATTAATTTTTCTTGTAATTTGTTTTATGCTTGAAAAGGTCTTTCCCATCCTGGTAGTTCTAGTCCAGTTTAATTACTTTTACACTGAGCACTTTAATCAAGTCAGAATTTATTCTGATGTACGCCGTGAGTTTGGGCTCTCATTTTACTTGTTTTTCTTACATTAGTTGACCAATTTCCCTCATACAATCTTTTTTTTTTCCTAACAACAATATTGTGATATAATTCACATACTGTACAAGTCACTGTTTAACGTATACAATTTAATGGTTTTTAGAGTTGTGCAACCATCACCACAATCAATTTTAAGACATTATCACCATCCCCAAAAGAAACCCTGTACCCTTTAGCATCTACTCCCAATTCCTCCCATGGCCTCTCCCCCTCAGGCCTAGACAACTGTTCAGCTACATTTTTCTCTAGAGATTTACCTATTGTAGACACTTCATATAAATAGAATCATACAACATGTGGTCTTTTGTGTCTGCCTTCCCTCCCTGACCATAATGTCTTTAAGGTTCATCACCTTGTAATACATATTAGTTTATTCTTTTTAATGGCCAGATGATATTCCATTATACAAATACACCACATTTATTTATCTGTCAGTTATTTCTAATTTTTGGAGTTTTATTATGGGTTTGACTTGAGTTATTCCCACTCTTTGGTTCTTATTAATAATGCTGCTATGAACATTCATGTACAGGTTTTTCTGTGAACCTGTTTTCATTTCTCTTCGGTACATACCTAGGAGTAGAATTACTGGGTCATATGGTAACCCATACATTTAACCTTTTGAAGAACTGTCAGACTGTTTTCCAAAGTGGCTAGACCATTTTTCATTCCCGCTTGCGAAGTATTAAGGTTCCAATTTCTCCATGTCCTCATCAACACTTACTACTATCTCTCTTTGTGATTAGCATTTCCCTAATGACTAATGATGCTAAGTTTCTTTTCCTGTTCTTATTGGCCGTTTGTAAGTCTTTATTGGAGAAATGTCTATTCAGATCCTTTTCAATATTTTAATTAGTTTATTTGTGTTTTTATTATTGAGTTTGAGTGTTCTTTATATATTTTAGAAACAAGTTCCCTTTCACATATATGATTTTAAAATACTTTCTCCCACTCTGTGGGCTGTCCACTTTCTTGATCATGTCCTTCGTAGCAAAAATTTTTAATTTTGATGTGGTACAATTTATTTTTGTTGTTGTTGTGGCTTATGTTTTGGTGTCATATCTAAGAAACCATCTCCTAATCCAAAGCATGAAGATTTATGGCTAAATTTTCTTCCAGGAGCTTTATTGTTTTAGCTCTTAAGTTTAGGTCTCTGATAAATTTTGACTTAATTTTTTGTATATTGTAGGCTAGGAATTCAAGTTCTTTCTTTTGTATGTGGCTATTCAGTTGTCCTGCACCGTTTGTTGAGGAGACTATTCTTTCCCCATTGAATGGTCTTGTCACCTTTGCAGAAAATCAGTTGACATAGATACATGGATTTACCTCCAGACTTTCAACTCTCTTTCATCAGTCTATGTGTCTATGCTATGTGAGTACCACACTCTCATGATTATTACAGTTTTGTAGTAAGTTTTGAAACTGAGAAGTCTGAGCCCTCCAACTTTGTTCTTTTTCTAGATTGTTCTGGCTATTCTGGGTCCTTTATATTTCCATATGAATTTTAGGATCAGCTTGTCAATTTCTGCAAAGAAGCTGGGATTTTGAAAGGGATTGTGTTGAATCTGTAGATCAACTTGGGGAGTGCTGTCATCTGAATAACATTAACTCTTTTGATACATAAATATAGGATGTCTTTTCATTTATTTAGATCTTCTTTAATGCCTGGGGAAAAAAAACTTTCTGTAGTTTTATACTATTTTTTTTTGAACTATTCTTCCCTCTATGATGAGCTGCCTTTGAACTTTAAACTCATTTTACATGGGTCTGTTTCTGTACTCTAATTATATTCCATGACTCACATCTATTCCTCTACTAATGCTGCACTATTTTACTACAAGAGCTTTGCGGCACACTTTGACATCAGATAAGGAAAGTCTTTCTATACCTCTAGTAATTTGCTTTTCTAAAAATTTCTTGTCCTCACTCATTCTCCCATATGAATGTCAAAACTATTGTAAGTTCCGAAAAAAGAATTCTACTGTAATCTGAATTGGAATTACATTACATATTTCAGTTCATTTAAAGGAATGGACTGTTCAACTTTTCTGTTATGTGTTTCAACAGTGTGTTACATTTTTCTTTATAGGTTCTGTGATGGTTAATTTTATGTGTCATTTCTCACCCATACCTGATCAGGTGAAATTTAATGAGGCTTTGGACTTGGAATCGGTGTTGGAATGGGTTAAGACCTCTGGGGATATTGAGATGGGGTGAGTGTATTTTGCACATGAGAAGGACGTGAATTTTGGGGGGACCAAAGGGCATAATGTTATGGACCCATTTGTATCTCCTCAAAATTTATATATTGAAACTCTAGCCACCAATGTGACTGCATTTGGAGATAGGGTCTCTAAGGAGGTTAGAGGTTAAATGAGGCCATAAGGGTGGGGCCTTAATCTGACAGGAATAGTGTCCTTATAAGAAGAGGAAGAGACACCAGAACTCTGTGTGTGTGTGCACAGAGAAGAGACCATGTGAGGATGTAGTTAGAAGGTGGCTGTCCACAAGCCAGAAAGAGAAGTCTGACCAAAACCAACCCCGACAGCAGCTTGATTTTGGACTTCTAGCCTCTAGAACTGGGAAAACATAAATTTCTGCTGTTTAAGGCACCCAATCTGTGGTTTTCTCTTATGGTGCCCTGCAGACTAAGACAGGGTCTACTACACATTTCTTAAGCATTTTTTCCCAGGTATTTTTTATTATAACAGCATTCAAGGTGGTATTTGGAATACCGGTTCTGAGACTTCTGTGCACATATTACTAGTGTTCCTCTGCTCCTTTTCTTGAAGCCTGCTCTTGTCCCTATTGCCTCAAATCCATCTATCCAACACGAAGGTCCTCCCACGCTGGGCAGCCTGAGGGTATGTCCTCATCCACTCCCTCTGGCCACAGCCAGAAAAAGCAAGAGGTGGCTGGGAGAATCAGGAACTTGATATTAAAACACCTTTGTTGCAAGCTTCCCAGCAAGAGGCATCATAATAAAGTGAGCCCATCTGAACCCCATGGATGACCGAGGCAGGAAGGTCAGGCCGCCACGTTCCCTGGGTCCCAGTCCAGTGGAAGATGAGTGTGTTCTCTGCACGGCCTTCATAAGCATCGTATCCAAGACCCTGGCCAGCTCAGAGGATGGTCCGGAGCAGCCCAGGCGACCGAAAGAGAGGCCACCGTGGCTGCAGATCCGCCCCTCAATCCCCACCTGGGTGAAACTTCAGAGACTGGACTGTCATTCCTGGGGCACGTCTCCCCTCCCCCACTCTTCTGTCTTCCGTGTTGGTGGGGGAGGGGGATAGTTCTTGTTCGAAGAAATCCTTGGTTCTTCCAATTCTAGTTAATAAACTTGATGCTCCAGAAAGATGTATCACACACTGCTTTGCATCATCCCTGCACAGAACTGGGGCTGTGCATTTTCCAGTTAGACAAGTGTGTAGCCATATAGTGCTTGGAGTTAATCAGAACAACTAAAGGGGAAAATGACCTAAGAGAATTAGCACAATGACTCCCAGCAGCAACAACTGCTGCACTGCAGGGCAGAAATGCAGGAAGTGTGAAGTACCTTCCTGCACTAACATTACTGAACATTTTCAGAAGGGCCGAGGGGAACTTTTGGTCCCTGCAGCCTGTGTTAGTTACAACAGAGAGCCCCATGAAAGGATAAGAAGGTCCCGTGAACCAGCCTGTGTGTGGTGTGGTAAGGTCCCTGTGCAGCTGAGTTTCATGACTGTCACGCAGCAGTTGGGCTCTCCTCTTCCCCCGTGCGGAGGGGCCCTGATGCATGGGTTTATTTTATTTTTTTTGATGTATACCATTTTAAAAGTCTTTATTGAATTTGTTACAATATTCCTTCTGTTTTATGTTTTGGTTCTTTAGCCGCGAAGCACGTGGGATCTTGGTCCCCGACAAGGGATCCAACCTGCACCCCCTGCACTGGAAGGCAAAATCTTAACCACTGGACCACCAGGGAAGTCTCTTTTTAAATTTTTTTTGATGCATGGGTTTCACCACAGGGAGTGTATGATTATAGTAAATGATCATACTTTCAAAACACTAGATTTGTCAGCATTACCTGGTTCCCTGGTTCAATAAGCCCTGGAACACACGGGTGACTGGAGCAGGGGCTTCTTCCCAGAGGCCTCTCTCTGGGGGCACATGCTCTCGGAGGCATCACCTGTACAGTCCCATTGGCTCTTGTCCGCTTACAGGTCACTTGCCGACTGCGGAATCCTTCACCGCAAGACACAGAGCACTCTGACCATGTGCCCGTGAACCACCTAAGAACAAAAACTACAGGAGCTTAGTAAGGACTGGTAGGACAGATCCAACAGGGAGTGCCTTCCAAAGGAAAAATTGATCCTAAGATAATGACTGTTTCAGGGCCCTCACACGTCTCTCTGGAAATGGGCAGCAGCACAGATAACTCCCAGCCATATGCTCAGATTTTCTTTTACTCAGAGAAGCAACAGAATCACCACGTAGAGACAAGCAACATAGGGGTGGGATAGAGCCGTCTTCAAGTATGTAAGGAGCCGTGACTTGTGTGGCTTCATAGAGTACAGCTAGGGCAAAATTAGGTGGAAACTTCAAAAAGGTGGATTTCAACTCACTGAAAGCAAAGGGAATATTACTGGATATTACTAAATCACCTATGTGCTCTTTGTGCTCTGAGACATTCGCATGTTTTCTAATGTAATTGTCATCTTGTTCCCATTCTTGCAATGAGGACAGCGATGTCCACAAGGTTAATTAAATAGCTATGGTCCCATAACTAACATGCCAAGAAAGCTGGGACTGCTTCTAGATTTATCTGACCCTAAAGTTCATAATGATTATAGAAGACTGAACTTGGAAGTGGACACCTTGGAGATATTGGGTGCTCTGTCACTCAAGATGTTCGAGCTGCCACCAGGATACTGAAGAGTAGGGGTTCCTAACCTGAGCCCCATTGTTCTGCCAGGGAACCATGGACTTGGATGGGAAAAGGATTACATCTTTATTGCCACTAAGCTCTAACGGCAATTGTATTGCCCTCAATTGTAAAAATGTAGGCAACGACATCTAGTAGTAATAGCAATACCTGTGATTTTGTTAGCAGTAGAAATCATAGCTGCTTTCACATGACATGAAAATTGTGGCAGGCATCCAAAACAGCAGTTATATTCATCACCATTTCAAAATCAATTGTACTAGTAGACCCTATTATTTAGTGTGTTAATAGAGAAGCAAATTTCCTATTACATCACACATTTGAAACTACTTCAGTAACTATATTTCAATATAATTAATTGGATTCCTCTGTAGTCAAGTATATTTTATTTTTATAGATTTAAAACCCTTGATTGAGAAGGGAGCCATAGGCTTCTCTAGACTACGGAGGGATCCGTGGCACTGAAATGTGAAGGACCCCTGATGTAGAGGGATCTAGGGTTAGATGATCTCTACTGTTTCTTCTAGGTATGAAAGTGTATGACAGTTTTTTCTAGGAGTGGCTAAAGGCTTGAGAGTACTTAATAAATAAGGATAAATTTCCCAATGTGAATTCTCATTGTGAGAATCAACAATTGATATAAACCAGTTTTCTTGGATCAAATTCCTCCTAGTTATTCTAGCATCAGTTTGCTGCTTCCTGAGGGACAGATGACTCTTGCACAAGCTCTTCCTTTGAAGGATAGGAAGAGCTCATGCAAGAGTCAAGGTGCCTACGGCACTGCAAAAGAGGTCAAGGTGCCCACGGTATCCACGGCTCTTCTAATAACGTGTTCCGAGGCATCTCTTTTGTTTCACGGTGTGACCATGCCTCCCACTTCTCCTCCAAGGCACAGATCATGGATCCGGGGTGGGCATTTGCACAGAGCAGTGAGCTGTACAACATTATGTACACCTCCGATTCCTCCTTAGTAAAATGAGATTGATTAATAGTGTCTGCCTCACAGGTCTGTGCTCAGTAAGTACTACTACTGTTTGGTTTTTGTCTTGGTTTTTTTTTTGTTTGTTTTTACTGTGAATTTTGGCATTGTGAACAAAAATATTGCCTGCCATGTCAGTAAACAAAGGATGTTGCAGCCATCAAGCCATCACATTACAGCTGCCCTGATGGTGCACCACCCCGAGGAGACTCAGGATGAGAAAGCACAGGACACCGGCCCCAGATAGTGGAGGTGCACATCAAAGGAATGATTTCGGTAAGCCCAGACTCTTGCATCTTCCCATACAGACAAAGGCGCTAAATTCCTTAACTTGAGATAGCTGGTTTTCTTTAATTAACAGTAATATTTTGATGTTCCAACTACTTGGTCTTTTGTTGCAAAAACTCCTATATATCTTGGTTCCCCACTCCCCGCCTTGCCACTTCAGAACAGTTTCTCAGCATTATCTGTGATGCTACGTCCCAAGCCTGAAGTCCTCAGAATGTCCGTCGAATAAAACATACCTCTCGACTTTTAGGTTGTGCATTATTTTCAGTCGATGGCATCATTGGTCAATTATCTGCTAGGGACTATGCTATTCAATCATTCATTCATTTTTTTAACAAATATTTTTAGAGAGTGTACAATGGGGCGATCACTGTGCTGAGTGCTGGGGATAACTTGTTAAACACACCAGCTGTGGATTTGGGTCTCATAGAACCGATGGTCCAGTATGTGGGCAAGACAGGCAGATTGTGGTAAGAGCTGTGCAGAAGAATGACATGGAAATAGAAAAACATATAGCACAGGGGTCTGGGTTAGTTTGGGGACTAGAAAGTTTTCCTGAAAATAGATGAATAAGAATAACTAAATGAAAAGAGAGTAAGCAGTATGTGCAAAGGCCCTGAGTCAGGAGACAGAACAGTATATCGAAGGGACAAAAAAGACTATTGTGGATGGAGATCCAATAACCAGGCTGGGAGACACAGCAATGAGGCAGAAAGGCAGCCTGAGACCCAAGCACGCAGGGACTTTTATTCTTTCACTCACCTATTTGGTCAGGCAGCAAATAGGTACTGGGCACTTACTATGTGCAAGGCATTATTTTAGACATTGGGGGACAAAATGAACAAGATAGACACAGTCCCTATGCCAGGAACTTTGACCTTTGTCCTAAGAACAATGGGAAGGCATGGAAGGTTGTTTATTTTTTTTAAACATCTTTATTGGAGTATAACTGTTTTACAATGCTGTGTCAGTTTCTGCTTTATAACAAAGTGAATCAGCTATACGTATACATATATCCCTGTATCTCCTCCCTCTTGCGTCTCTCTCCCACCCTCCCTATCCCACCCCTCTAGGTGGTCACAAAGCACCGAGCTGATCTCCCTGTGCTATGCGGCTGCTTCCCACTAGATACCTGTTTTACATTTGGTAGTGTATATATGTTCATGCCACTCTCTCAGTTCGTCCCAGCTTACCCTTCCCCTTCCTCGTGTCCTCAAGTCCATTCTCTAAGTCCGCGTCTTTATTCCTGTCCTGCCCGTAGTTTCTTCAGATCCATTTTTTTTTGTTTTTTTGTTTAGATTCCATGTATATGTGTTAGCATACAATATTTGTTTTTCTCTGACTTACTTCACTCTGTATGACAGACTCTAGGTCCATCCACTTCACTACAAATAACTCAATTTCGTTTCTTTTTATGGCTGAGTAATATTCCATTGTATATAGGTGCCACATCTTCTGTATCCATTCATCTGTCGATGGACACTTAGGTTGCTTCCATGTCCTGGCTATTGTAAATAGAGCTGCAATGAACATTGTGGTACAGGTCTCTTTTTGAATTATGGTTTTCTCAGGGTATATGCCCTGTAGTGGGATTGCTGGGTTGTATGGTAATTCTATTGTTAGTTTTTTAAAGAACCTCCATACTGTTCTCCATAGTGGCTGTATCAGTTTGCATTCTCACCAGCAGTGCAAGAGGGTTCCCTTTTCAAGTGAGGAGCATCGTGATGAGTTTGTATTTAGGGTTTTTTTTTTTTAAGGTTTTTTTCTAATGTGAACCGTTTTTAAAGTCTTTATTGAATCTTGTTACAATATTGCTTCAGTTTTATGTTTTGGTTTTTTGGACGTGAGGCATGTAGGACCTTAGCTCCCCGACCAGGGATCGAACCCACACCCCCTTCATTGGAAGGCAAAGTCTTAACCACTGGACTGCCAGGGAAGTCCCATGGGTTTGTGTTTTCAAAGATGGTTCTTCTTATAGAGTGGACAAGGCACTCTAGAAAGGAGACAAAACTCAGGAGGCTCCTGGAGTGGTCCTAGTGAGGAATGATGATGGCTTGGACTCCATTGGTAACAGTGGGAATTGACAAGAACGGATGGAAGTGAGAGGAAAGTGGGAGTTCAGGATGTTGTCAATGTGATCTGGAACACTGGGGACGGATCAGATTTGGTGGAGATCATGAGTTTGACTTTGGACATTTTTAAAACCATTGATTTGTGTTGTCTGTGACACAGAAAGGTTAGTAATGGTTTTACCCCTGGGGGTAGAGTCTACGAAACTGTGCTTTTAACTAGTGCCTCTCATGATCTGGCCCGCTGACTTATCTCCTGGGTAAACCCATGAAATCAGCTTCACTGTGCTCTTAAGGTACATTGTGAGTGCAGGAAACAGATTTGGGTAGCAATTAAGAGCAGATGCTGTGAAAGCAGACTACCTCAATGTGAATTCTGGCCCTTGTAACTGTGCGGCCTAGGGGAGTTGTTCCATCTGTAAAATAGAAAATGAACGACATCGACCTCAGAGGTGACTGTGAAGTGATCCACATAAAGTACTTAGCAGAGTGCCTTGTATGGTACATGCTAAACAAATCACAGTGGTCGAGTTACTAATTCCAAATGACTGGGCATTTTAAAACAAGCCAAAACCTGGTACTGATGAGATGACTACACATACCTCGAGGGGCAGTCCCAGATGTTACAGGGCTGGAACCCAGCCAGCGGCTTCTGGAGGTGCTCACAGAAGGCCTCACTCACTTCCTGCCCGTTGGCCATTACACACTGGGGTCTCTGAACTCGGGCTCCCAAGTGGCCGCAAGTGGCAGAACAATGTGTCCAGCTACCAAGCTCCCAGAAAGTTTCTGCAGAAAGAAAATGAATGTCATGACAGATGAGAAATGATGATGGGCTGGAGACAACCCGGCCAAAGACCACCGCCAGCTGTTTTCTGGTTACCTGCCTGTCTGGTGCTCTGAGTAGCAGACAGAGAATAAGCCATCATACAGTGCAAGGGAGTCCTTTAAATCTCCTTTTCCCTCAGCTAGCTTACTGTAATAACTGGTGGGAATGGCAGCCAGAATGGGGCCCTCGGACCACAGCCTGGGTGAGGGGCTACTGCAGACCAGCTGGATCTGCCAGAAAAAGCCCAGAGAGAAGGCGGAGGTATCCTGTGCAGTGCGCTGGCTCCTCACGACTCTCCAAGCAGAGCCAACAGGACAAGAGTGGAGGGTCTCTCAGGGGATGCCCTAAGGATGCCCCGTGGGTTCTATTTCTCCAAAGTGGATCAGGCCGAGAAATGAAAGATGTTTAGCAGGGAGCAGGGATTAAGCAGAAATGTTAATGTTGCATTTCAGTTCCATTCTTACTTTTCCATTAATTCTGAATCTAAATTTCAGATTACTCCTGAAACTGCATACATAATTTGTCCTGGAGACATCTGGAAAGGTGAAAATGGGAGTTTCCTTTAGAAACGTTGAAGCTGACCCCCTCCAATAATTATAACGGTTTTTACTTTAATCCCCCTTCCAAGCAGCCTTTTCCTTCACTTTTGACACTTGGTAAAAAGACAGGTAGGACATGATGATGACACATTTGTGTATGATCACAGAAAGTGCCAGATTTTTTGTAATAATCACAAGTAATTGATAGCTACCAGCTGTGTCCGCAGGCTCCCTCACAGAGGGACTGATTTCTCTAACTTAATTGTTTTCCCGGTTTTCCTTTTGATTTTGGAATATTTGTCCTAAGTTGCATATGGTATCATTTGCAAAGGAGAAGAGAATATATTTTTAGTTGCCCCCCCCAGGATTACAGTTTATTTAAAACAAATTTAAAAAACAGCTAAGTTTATTGAGAATTTTCCAGGTGATAGGTACTGAGTTAAACACTTTAACATCAATTTTCATTTAATCCTTATGGCCATCTTGTGAATTAGATTAGTTTTACTTGCAGAGGTGGACACTTCAAAAAGCTAAGTGACTTTCCCAAGATCCTTCAGCTGGATTGGGGCCCAGTGTGTCTGTCTCCAAATCTAACTCCTTCTACTCTGTCACATTTCACAAAGACACCCTGATGATTCAAGGCAGGACACACATGCATTTCTTTAAAAAAATATATGCATTTTTTTACTGAGGTATAATTCATATACAATAAAATGCTCAGATATCAGGCATGTGGTTTTATGAGTTTTCACAATTGTATGCATTTATGTAACCGTGATCCAAAGCAAGGTATATAACATTTCATCACCCCTGAAATTTCCTCCTGCCTCTTTTTTAATCAATTTCCCTCTCCTCCAGGCAAGCTACTTCTCCATTTCTGTTAATATACATCAGTACTGTCTGTTCCTGGACTTCATATGATACGTACTCTTGTATGTTTGGCTTTTTTTGCTTAACATAATGTTTTTGAGATATACCCATATTGTCCTGTATATCAGTCATTCATTCTTTTATTTTTATTGCTGAATAACATTTCATTGTATGAATGCACCCACAAAGTTACACCTTATTCTCGTAAGTATTTTTGATTTTCTTAACTCTACCTCTCTCCCTTGGCCTCCTAAAGAGTTTTGCAAGCTGGAAATACCTAGATTAGGTTCTTGTGACCAAGTACTGATATGTGTGGAAAAAAATATTTGTGAAAGAAGACAAATGAAAGAATTGATTGCACAGTTCTTAGCAAATCTTCCCTCTGTTAATATTTACCAAGTTAGCAATTGTTTTGCAACTGGAAAACCAATGTCTGCATTACCACAAATAATGGTGCAGATTTGGGATATGACCTCTGTGGGCTTCCTCAGGAGTGAATTTTTTTTAAAAAACGTTCAATATGGAAAGAAAATGTTGAACCCCCGAAGGTTGAGGGGGAAGGAAAAAGCTGGCTGGACGCCTAGGAATAATTTTACTTATTGCAAAGTGCAAAACATGGAGGGTCTTTTAACTAATTCCTTTCCTTAGCACATGCCTTACCACCAGCAAATCCCCCAAAAAAGCCCAAATCCCAGACCTGAAGGTAGGGGTTCTCTTGTTGGCCCATTACTGTTGGTTTCAGTGTGGATGCCTGGAGCATATGCTGTTTATGGTCCTTGGGAAATAGAAGTTTACTGCCTGACTGTCTTTGTTCTGAGAAAAAAAAAAGGAACACTTGTTTACCAATTAGAAGTTATCTAATTCTTGTTCCATCTTGGGTGTTCTGAAAGACGACAACTCCTGGGAAATAATTCCTTTCCAATAGAATACTCTGTCCCAGGACACTCAGGCTCACACAGATCTGGGAGCTATGTGTGGGGCTGGGTGTGCGGAGAGCCACGGGGGCTTAGTTAGAGTTATTAACTACGCTAACATGTAGCATCTCTGCATGTTTTCAGGGTTTACAGCCTAACTAACAAGGTAGGAAAAAATACATTCACCAGAATTCCAAAAGGGACTGGAGGAAGCAGCTGGGGCTTATAGGGCTCTTCCCCTCCAGACAGCTTTGGGAACAGAAGGGGTGATGTTTTACAGGGGACCTCACATGGTGAGGAGTGCATGAGTGTACGAGCAGAAGGATGGTGGAGGAATGCTGTGTATTGTGTGATGTAAGACATTCTTGATTCCTCAGTCATGTGACCAAAGTCACAAGCTGCTTGACTGGAGAGACTTCTGAGAGAAGAGGCGTGCAGGGCAGAACTGAAACACCCACACAGACTCATGAGTGGAGAGGGGGAGAGGCAAGGAATAAGGCTGGGACTTCACAGGGAGCTTGGGGAAGGCACTGGAGAATCAGACAGGTTAAGCTTCCCCATTTGTTGACAATCTTCCATATTAAGATCCTAGAGGACCACAGAGGCTCTTTGGGAAGGGCCACATGGAGGTACACCAGTGCCCTTCTGATCAGCACTGAGAGTCAAGGAGGGCAGTATGGAGAACACTGAAAGAGATGACTATATATTTGGGCTCTAGTAAAAACTTTCTTTTTTCTTTTTTTTAAATAAGTTTATTTATTCATTTCTTTATTCATTTATTTTTGGCTGTGTTGGGTCTTCGTGCACGGGCTTTCTCTAGTTGTGGTGAGTGGGGGCTACTCTTCGTTGTGGTGCATGGGCTTCTCATGGCGATGGCCTCTCTTTTTGCAGAGCACAGGCTCTAGGCACGCGGGCTTCAGTAGTTGTGGCATGTGGGCTTAGTAGTTGTGGCTCACGGGCTTAGTTGCTCTGCGGCATGCAGGATCTTACCGGACCAGAGATCGAACCCATGTCCCCTGCATTGGCAGGTGGATTCGTAACCACTGCGCCACCAGGGAAGTCCTCTAGTACAAACTTTCAATGAGTAGCAGGTTTCCTCAATTTATACAACGGGATAAAAGATTACTGCCTGGGCTTCCCTGGTGGCGCAGTGGTTGAGAGTCCGCCTGCTGATGCAGGGGACACGGGTTCGTGCCCCGGTCCGGGAAGATCCCACATGCTGCGGAGCGGCTGGGCCCGTGAGCCATGGCTGCTGAGCCTGCGCGTCCGGAGCCTGTGCTCCGCAGCGGAAGAGGCCGCAGCGGTGAGAGGCCCGCGTACCACAAAAAAAAAAAAAAAAAAAAAAAAGATTACTGCCTCCAACACTGCTATTGTAAATATCTAAAGAGTTCAGGAACATCAAAGTGCTTTGTGCATGACACCTATTCCAACTCCCCATCTATTTATGTCTCTGGGCTCCTCTAACTGCCAACAAGAAAAGCCATGGAGAAAGCTCTTTCCATCATCCTCTTAGTTTGGCTGCGGATTCTATAATCTCATACCAGTTCTGCCAGTGACTCAGTTTTATTCATTTATGAAACACTTATTTAATACTTACACCTGTGTTAGGTGCTGGAGAGACAAAGGACAATAATAAATGATCCCTAACGTCAGTCTAACTGACTTCTGTGATTAACTCTCAATCACTTCCAAACTCTGGGGGGGCAAGAGAAGTATTATTTATTGAGTCCTTAAACCCCTGCAAGTTAAAGCTCATTCTGGTGACAAGACTTCGTGAGCTCCAGATCTTATCCCTGACAGACAGCAGCAGCAGAAGCCAGCTTATCACCCTGTGCGGGGGGCTCACTGCAATGACCTTCCCCAAATTACAATACTGACCCCACTACAAGATGTCTTAAGACTCAATTGATTAGTATTTGTTGAGCACCTACTGTGTGCCTCATACTCTATTATATTGTTAGGACTGCAAAAGAAATACTAGACATGGTCTGTACCATTAAGGGACCCACAATTTAGCTGAGGAGACATAAATGAAAGAGGAAACAACTGGAGACCAATGTGTGTTAGGACTTAGGGACCAAGGGGTGAGACCACAGAAAGGAGAGGTCCAAAAAAATCAGAGAAGGATTCACACGGGAAATGGGAATTCACTTGGCCCTACAGGATGGGAGGTATTGGGGCAACATGATAAAAGCAGTGAGCAGTATGAGTGCAATGAGCACTTTTCCTGGGTAAGCAATATGAATGGCAGCCACACTTCCAGGGAAGCAACATGGGGTGTGGGTGTGGAGGGGGGTTTGGAACACAGGGCAGGAAACCATGTTGCCTAGAACAGAATTTAGTGCTAGCTTACAGTGGAGGTCAGGGAAAAGAAGCAGATGTAAAGGCAGAATATGAAGGATCTTGATTCTGGGCAGAAAGTTTATATCCCAATGTACGTTCTTAGGCAGAGAAGGAGCAGCAAGAAAGTCACAACCTTCTAAGAGAAGAACTGGTAAGACAGAGTATTAGTATTTGCTCGTTTGTAAGTGGGCAGTGGCAGCAATAGTTAAAACCATTTAATGTCCACTTGTTTACTCCTTGACCCCAGAATCAACAAAACCAGGTCCTACTTTGTACACATTATAGGAAGCACTTGAAGGACAACAAGAATTTGACGCTTACCCAGCAAGTGGAGGATGGATGTTGCCATCGCCTTTCCAAGAGCATTGGTGGCTGTACAGACATAGGTTCCTTCACTTTCAAGGGAAACATTCTGCAACAACAGGGATCCATTGAAAAGCAAGGAAATATTGTCACTCAGAGATCCTCCTTTCTTCAACCAAGTTACATTAGGTTGAGGGACACCTTTGGAAGAAAAACAAATATGACAAAGGCAAACTCCTTTAAGAATAGGGCCACAGGACCATATGCAAATACCATTTAGCATTTTGACCACAAGTCAGGAAATGGGTTTAATCACATATAATAGGAAAAACGGCTCTTTCTATTTCTATAGCTCCTCTATGGCAGATGGGGGATGCTGCTGAAGCAAAGGGCTTTGGTCTGCTGAGCACCAGGTTGGTTTATGTATATAAGTCAAGGAATAGGAGCCAAAGAGGGTGGGCTTGCTCTGTATTGGGAAGGGAGAGAAATTTGAAGTTGAATGGGGGTAACGGGAGAGTGGTTGGAAAAGAGGAGCTGATCAAGCCGGATGAATGTGGAGGCAGAGACACAGAGAGAAATTCCTAGCAGTGGGTTGTCACAAAGAAGCCTTTTGGAAACAAAAATATCGAATATGGATGTTTAAGTGGTTCGCTGTGCAAAAGGCAATGCAACGTTCCTCCCTTCAGGTGGAATACAAAATCTTTAGGGAAGTAGATTTTGTTCATCCATGCTTTTGTGAAAGAGGATAATTTCAGGGAACAAAAAGAAGTGTTGCATTTTAAGTTTGGGTCAACGTAGAGGTGAGCAGACTGTAAGCAACATCTCTGGACACAGAGAGGAGCGTGAGGAATTGAAAGAATTTCTTCCCCCACATCTTGAGACATCTTAGCCATTTGCTGGGCTGTGGGATGTGAAACTAAGAGGAATCTCATTTCGTTCTTAAGAGTTGGGGCAGCCTCCAGTGATCCAGCAGCGTTACTGGTTTTGAGGATGTCCTTTCTTCCTGCAATGCTCTGGCTAGAGAGGCTATGGCAGACATGGCAAGGCTTTCTGACAAGAAAGAGATATCATCGCTCTAATCGTGACATCTGCAGTGCACCTTACAAGAGGCAAAACACATGCTCCATGAACACTGAGACACTTTCTCACGGTTATTCCCAACTCCTGGGAAGTACTCATTGTTAGCTCTGTCTTACAGCTGAGGAAGCTGGTCAAGTCAAAACTAGCTCAGAACCTAAATACACAGAGAAGTGCTAATCACAAGTGCATATATATAGTTTTGTAGTTTCTTCTACAAATATAAACACATGGAGAGGTTAAACTTAGAATTCTGAGGTCAACAGCTAGTAAACACTGGATCTGAGATTCACACCCACGCAGAACTTACCTTTTAACCACAATGTAGGTAGGTCTTATATATTTCTTGATAGATTTATTCCTAGGCATCTTATACTTTTTATGGCCATAGTAAGCAGGCTCTTTTAAAATATATTTTATAGTTGTTTATTCCTGACAATTAGGAAAGCAATGAACACTCGCGTCTTTATCTTGTATCTAATCATTACTAAAGTTTATTATTTTGAATAGTTTTCAAATGATTTTGTTTTTTAAATGTAAACAATCACATCACTTATATGTAATGACAATTTTATCTTTTTTTCCTATATTTATACCTATAATTTCTATTAACTATTGCATTGTATTAGCTAATGTCTCTAGAACAATGCTGAATCATGTTACAGCAGGCAAATTTGCCTTGTTTCCAGCTTTAAAGGGAACATTACTAATGTTTCATCCTCAAGCACGTTGTTTGCTTTTGTTTTCTGTTAGCTGTTGTCAAATCAAAGAAATTTCCTTCTGTTTCTAACTCACATGGAAATTTCTAAACCTTTGAGCTAATATTTAGTTTATTTTAATTGGATTTTTTAAAAATTAAAGTATTTAAAGTTATTAATTTTCCTTTGAGTACAGCTTTGACTATATATATTTTGAGATGAAATAAACCATTACCATTATTTCACTCATTCAAAAATGTTTACAAAGTGCTTATTATATGTGAGACTTTATGCTGGTGCTAAGGATATGTGAACTAAGTTTCCTTAAGAAACTTGATTTTAGAAGCCTTAATTTTGTGGTCTTCTAGGATCTTAAGATGGAAGATTGTCAATAAATGGGGTAGGCTTAACCTGTCTGATTCTCGAGTGCCTTCTCCAAGCTCCCTGAGAAGTCCCAGCCTTAATTTTTAAATTTTAATTCCCTCCTTTGGAGGGAAACAGATGATTGCAATAAAAGGACATGAGGGCTTATGATAAACGTAAACACTGGATGCCACTGGCACGTAAAAGCTGTATTTAATACAGACTGGAGAGAGGGGAAAGATTCTCACATGAAGGAACATCTAAGCTAATACTTTAGGACAAGTAGAAACATGTCAGGTGAAGGGGGTGGATGTGGTGGTGAGACTGTTTTAGCTAGAGGGAACAGCGTGCAAAAAGGCACAGACACGAAGGAAAATATAGTGCATTTGGGGAATCATAAATTGCTTTTTTATGACTAGAGCTTAAAGTACATGGAGTAGGAGTGAGGAGAGATGACTACAGAGGTCAGCAAGTACCCATAAAATGAAAATTTATTATACACAGTAAGGAGTTTGGTGGCATTTATCCTAAAGGAAATAGGAAATAGTTTCATTCTTTTAAGCAGTGGTTAAAACTATCAGATTGCTGCTTCTGAAACATCGTTCTGGATGTGATGTAAAACGGGGACGAGGGAGGCAAGGGTCAGTAGGACCACTTAGGTGGTTACAGAAGCAATTGAGGTGAGATGCAAAGAGTGCTGAAACAATGGTGGGAGTGAGGGATCTGGAGAGAATAGATTCACTTAGTAAATATTAAAGAAGAAAAATCAGTAGGATTTGGTGACTGACGTTCTATGCGGGAGTGAAGGAGAAAAAGGATTTAAGGATGACATGCAGATAGAGGGTGGTACCATTCACTGAAACAGGGAAAATAGGAGGAGCAGACCTGCGTGATAAATTCTTATAAGCATGTTGCAGCCTGAGAGGCAGGCGTCGAATTTTACACATACTCCTAGGAGCCTGCGGGAACACTCCGGGGACGAGGACCGGTGGGCGCCATTGTCGTGCTCTCCCTCTGCTGTGCTCCAGAGCTTCAGAATCTCCCAGAAGAGAGCTTTTACACAAGTCTGCCCTGATTTTTGTGGCTGCCACCTGCGGATGCCTCTGGAGGACAGGGGAGCCTGTGTTCCTGGTCCCTTGAGACCGTAATAATTGGTGTCACCCAGAAAAGAGCTCATACTCCTATCTGGCACCTTGATTTTTGTGATTGCTGTCAGGGGACACCTCTGTATCACATGGCTCTGGTGGCCAATGGGGCTTATACTTGGGGTCCCACAGGATTGTGGCCAATGGAGAAAGAGTACTTGAACAGGTACCACCCCCCAGGGCACAGCAGAAGGCCACAGACCCAGGTCCTCCTTCTTTCTGTGAAGGAGGCCTATTAGCTAAGCATCATGACTGCGCCCGAGGGGCAGGCTTCTGATTAAACATGCATCTTGGGGCTGACTGTGAACCCTCGCAGAGACCTCTGAGGGTGGGAGCTGTCTTCATGCTCACTCTCTGCCATGCTCCGGGGTGCCAGTGTTTCCTGCAGGCAAGCTATACGTGCATCCAGTGCCCTGGTTTTTACCTCTGGTATCCTGTTTTTATTTTTATTTTATATTGGAGTATTGCTGATTCACGATGTTGTGATAGTTTCGGGTGTACAGCAAAGTGATTCAGTTATACATACACGTGCATCTATTTTTTCAAATTCTTCTCCCATTTAGGTTATTAAAGAATACTGAGCAGAGTTCCCTGTGCTATACAGTAGGTCCTTGTGTGTTGTCCATTTTAAATATAGCAGTGTGCACATGTCAATCCCAAACTCCCCATCTATCCCTCCCTCCAACCACGCTTTTCCCAGGCTAACCATAAGTTCATTCTCTAAGTCTGTGACTCTGTTTCTGTTTTGTAAGTAAGTTCATTTGTATCTGGTACCCTGGTTTTTGTGGCTGCCACCCAAGGGATGCTCCTTGATCTGGTGGCTCTGTTGGCCAGGGTTGGAAGGGGTGGGTGTAGGGTTAGCGGTGGGATGGAGGGGTGGGAGGGTAGGGAGGAGGCGGGGGGTGGCGGCTTGCATTCCTGGGTCCCACAGGACTGTGGCAATCAGAGAGGCAGTGCTTGGCAGGCTATCACCGCCAGGGCACCGCACAGACAACGGACTGAAACACACCCCCAGTCTTTCTGCAAAGGAGGTCTCTTTGCTTGTCCTGGAGCTTTGGCCTGAGGGGCTGGCTTCAGGTCTGGCTCACATTTAGCGGCCTATAGAGCTGCTTTCAAGGAATGTAGCGCCCCTTGGCACTCTCCCTCCGCCTCGCGCCAGCTCACCACTGTCACCCAGAAAAGGAACTTACACACTCATTTGGGGCCCTGATTTCGGCAGCTGCCACTCAGGGGACCCCTCCAAATCTTCCGACGCTGGTGGGCATCAGGGGTTACACTTACAGTCCCACAGGACTGTATATATCTACATACTTAAAGGAAAAACTGATCCTGAGGGTCTAGCTTGCAGTCAGCCTGAATCTAGGTTCTGAGAGCCTCCCGTTTGAGACACTGACAGGTCTTAGCACATCCTCAACTATGAGGAGTTATTAAATACATACAGTAAGTCCCCTACATACAAACCTTCAAGCTGCGAACTTTCAAAGATGCAAGCGTGTCCAATCACATAAGTTAGTTCACGTGTCTAGAGTACATTGTCACATCGCATGCATCTTCTACAAGTGGTTGTGCTTTTGTGTACTTTACTGTACAGTACTGTATAGAGGACAGTAGTACAGCATCTTTATTTCAAGCCCAGGATGTCTGGAAGCAAGTGTAAAAGCAGCAGTGATATACCTGGTACTTTTCAAGGTAATGTACTGTAAGATTAAAAATGTTTTCTTTATTTTTTGCGTTTGTTTTTTATGTATTATTTGTGTGAAAAGTATGATAAACCTATTACAGTACAGTACTATATAGCCGATTGTCTTAGTTGGGTACCCAGGCTAACTGTTGGACTTGCCAACGAATTAAACTTACGAACGCGCTCTTGGAACGGAACTCGTTCATATGCAGGGGACTTACTGTAGTAGGCTGCTTG